GACCCATTCGTGCTACAACTATACTATTAATATAATTGCAGCATGGCTCTAGCACGTTAAATGAACAAACAGAACAAAAAGAATTTAAATAAACAAACTAAGTCAAACTAACTTAGTTGTGTAGGGTGTAGGCCGCTCCGAAACTAACACGAACTAAGCTAAGCATCTCTCACCCCCTTACGTTACCCCTCTGGCCCCTTTGTTTTAGCTTATTTTTCGGTGGACGTGCAATGACTTTCCAGGTTAGCTTAGCTTAGTTCACTGAGCATAGTTTTCACATAAATATGTTTCTGCTGTTTTGTATGGTGAGTATAGAGAAACAAAGACCCTTTTCACTGGAAATGAGGCATTCCATCTTTCTGCACTTTGATTCTCAATTGAGGATAAATGTCTTGTCCTATGGTCTTCAGCAGCCATTTATCATCTGATGATCTGTGTATTTGTTTATCATCCTAATTCATTAAAAAAAATTGTTACTTCTTTTCATAACAACCTTTAAACATGGGCTTAACTGTTAAGGATATTGTTTATAAAATTTAACTTTCAATAAGAAGTAAAAGCCAGCTAAAAATTTTTTATAGGATGCTATTTTACACTGGTATTCTGTGAGAGCTACATACAATTAATATAGTTGTCGGTTCTTCGAGCTATATGGCCGGCCCATTGCCACTTCAGCTTACTAATCCGTTGGGCTATGTCGGTCACTCTGGTTCTACTGCGGATATCCTCATTTCTGAGTTTATCACGCAGAGAAACTCCGAGCATAGCCCTCTCCATAGCTCGCTGAGCGACCTTGAGCTTCCTCATCCGACCAGCAGTGAAGGACCACGTCTCAGTAAATATTTAAAAGAAAACCCCTTCTACTCAGTGGAGGAGTATGTAGATTAAAATTAAGAGTATCATGTATTTTTATACTTATCTAGTTTCTAATTATATTTTATGTACGAGCAGTGTCCTCAACAAATTTGCAGAGCCTGAAAAGGGCATCTAAGTTGTAAGGACATGACCAATTATGTACACTTGGATTGTAAATAAATGATTTGATTTGATTCTCCTCTACTAGAAACGTGTTTTACAATGGTATGGAAAACTTCATGCACGAGTCCGATCCGCCCGCTTTGCTGACTTGGCCCACTTTTCAATAAATAGGTTATACTTCAAGGGTAGTCCCATATAAATTTGAAAAAAAAGTTTCACTCCAAAGGATAGCAAATAAATCTAAAATTATTTCTTTTTTAACAATTTGAAGTTGGTTTTTACATTTTGTTAAAAGTTATAATTATTAAATTGGCTAATATTAAAACACATATTAATGGTTAAAATATTTGACTGTGGGGTCATAACTTTGAGCAAGATATTTTTGGGGCTCTCCTTTATATTTGCCAATATAAATCCACTGCTTGACAATAGAGACCATTTCAAGCTGCAGCAACTAGATGCATACACAACCCTTTCGGTCTATTAATGTGCTGTATTTGTTCTATGAATGATAGAATACCTTGCAATGTCACAAATACGAACATTAAAAAAGTAAACAATAAACAGATCTTTCTAACCCAATTTGTTTCAGATTCAATTCACAATCATGCTGATATACAGTGCCCAAGTTTTCCTGCCAAGCTGTCCAGCGCCTTTAGGGTTGACTTACATTTATTTCCCAAATGTTATATTTGTATACTATATGTTTTATGACTTTTTCAAACGAAACTATGTTAATAATAAAGAAAAATTGAATGGTAATGTAAATGGTAATGGAGCGAAGAATTTGTAATTTTGTTAAGTTAAGCGAATGATTGTATATTTATTTGAAAGTAAATTTCTTTCTCTTACTTTCATTTCATTAAATAATAGATACATTAAAATATAAGTATTAAATTATAAATTAGAGAGAGACAGTCAGAAATTTACCATGAATGTTTGGCTTGGAAAAATTACAGATGCAGTATGTTGGTGCAATAAAGATTACTTGCAAGATTATGTTTTTAGTTCTTATCTTGTTTCAACATAGGCTTTAGCTAACCCCATTTTTGTTAACTACGCTACAGCTGCTTCTGGTGTAGCGGGGGTATACCACCATCTACTGTCGCTAATATTTACATTCTTAACAAGATCGCTTACGAAAGATTGTTTTGCTAAGACAAATTTGCCTTAGAATCAATTGTCAATAAACATTTTATAAAATATTAAATACTCCTGGTCAAAAGTGATTTTAACTACAAGTCTTGGTCAAATTTCTTTTAACCAAAATTTTTCAGTCAAAATCTTTTTTATTAATATTTTTTCAGTCAGAACTACTTTTGCCCAAACTTCTTTAGTTTTACACGGTAGAGCCATGCTGCAGCTATATTAGTAGGCATAATTGTAACAAGAATAGGTCTGCTGGACCAGGGAAGAACCACATTCTGACAGAATACCAGTGTAAAATAGCAGTGCAACAATAATAATAAAATATTTATTTGCATAAAAAATGGTACATTTTGAGGTCTTATAATATAGTGTGAACATGCATGTTTTACCGATTTATCAGTATACAAACAAAATTACAAAATCACAAAATTACAATAACGATTCATATCAAAATTTAATTAAATAGTATAATGTCAATAAATTTATGATGTAAAAAGAGAATATAATAAAAATATACAGGCATGGTCATGTCATAATGCATAATGTCAAACTAGTATAATGTCAATCTTACAAATTCTAATTCACTTGTCAATTTAAAATTTCACATAACAACAATTCGCTGGAGATGACCGTCACTGCAGAATTTAATAAATTCATTTACGTCACAAAAACAGTTTTCAATGTAAAAACAAAATAAAAAAACAAATAAGTTTTTTAAACAAATTAAATGTCAAGTTTTGAATATGGTTCGGAAGTAAATTAAATAATCGAACGCACATGCTATAACTATTTCTAGAAAAACAAGTTGTGGCTGCCTGGGGCACAGATAACTTCCACGGGTACCTTCTTGTACCACCACGATCATTATGTTGTTTTGTGAAGTGGTTAGCATTTTTTTTGGTCTATATTAAAATTTCATATATATATAGGGAAGGTAATGTAAGAATTTTTAACTTCTTAAAGAGAGGTCTACATGATTCCATTTAACCGACACCACATATAGATCGTATACATTTCTTCTGTGGTATAAAAACAAGAGAAATGTGTGTTGTTGGAGTTTACCATTTTTGTTGTAAAATTGTATATAATTTGTTTTAATTGTATTAATTTTCAAATCATTATATTTTAGCCAATTCGTTATATGTATTATAGTGTTAGGTTTTTTATGTATAGTTATAGAAATATCGTCAGCATAGAGTGTAACAGGATATTGCGTACACTTTGGAAGGTCATTGATGTACAGAATGAAGAGTAATGGTCCTAATATACTGCCCTATGGGACACCTGAGTTATTCGCCCTAATCTCCGATCTATACGTCACACTCTGACACCCATCATCCAGCCTCGGTACTTCCACAAACTGAGTCCTTTCACTGAAATAGCTCCTTATCCAATCATAGGCCGGTCCTCGCACACCATAACGCTCAAGCTTATTAAGAAGAGTCCTATGATTAACAAAATCACAGGCCTTACTCATATCGAAAAGGAAGGTGGATACAGGAACCCTGTTGCTCATATGAATCGATATTTTATTAATAAGGGAGTAACAGGCCAGTGCTGTTAACCTTTCCTTGCAAAACCCAAATTGTTCCTCCCTAATTATGCAGTGTTTTGTGAAAAAAGAAATTAATCTGAACTGCATGACTTTTTCGAATATCTTTGACAAAAGTGGGATAAGTGCAATGGGTCTGTAGTTGTTTAAATTATGCCTCTCTCCACCTTTAAATAACGGCTTGACACTACAGTGTTTCGTATAATGAAACCCTTTTTACTGAAAAACGAGGCATTCTATCTTAGGCCTGGCTCTCAGTAACCACTAACCATCAAGTGGACTATGTGCTTGTTTGTTACCCTTATCCTAAAAAAAAGTCAAAATTAATTTAAACTGTTTTCATTGGTCAAAATTAGTTTCGACCAAGAAATAGTTTTAACTGTAATATAATATATATTTTGTAACTAATACAGTATAAGTTATTTTTAATTTTAATTGCATAGTACAAAAATAAGAATATTTAATTTTATAAAACCCCAATACAAGTAGCAACAAATCACAACATTACATTTATGTGTATGTTAATATTAAACAAGAATAATGAAGAAAAATTGTAATGTTGTTCTTAATTTTCCTAAATACTTAGCTTTGAAGACGCTTTGTACATATATGTTAAAAAGATAGATCTTTCGAACAGTCATTTGAAAGTGCTAGCTTTGGATAGTTTATCTAAATAAAAGCCTAAGCTTAATTGAGGAGATGATGTGACAGAATCAAAAACATCTTATGGCATTACATCGTATAAATAAAACAGGATTACATATAAAATTTAAAATGAATAGTTCAGAGTTAGGGTAAGTGACTTAGTAAGTCCATGGTAATTATTACAAGAACTAAATATTTGCATAAAACTTAAATAAAAAAGTCATAATAAAGTTTTTACTTTCACAAGAGATTTCGCACTACTTACAAAATTGAAATATAAAATAAAAATTCTAATTAAGGTGTAGATAAGACCTAGTCTAAACCAGTTTCTTGTTTAAACATTGATAGCACATAGCATAACTATAAATACATGAATTACATGAGTTACAACACTTCTTTATAAAAAAAAACTAAAATAACAATTGCCTATGCATTTAACCTGTAATAAAAACTATCGTATGTAAATTAACTCTAGTAAATAACGAATTTTATTGTCTTTTTTCAGTCGTATAGCCAAGAATAACGTATCAAGTGTTACAAAGAATAGGGTTAGTATATTTCGAATAATGACTTCAAGGTATATTTGTTCCTGTATTCACTTTATTAAAATAATACACAAATCTAACTCGAATAAATTATTTCAAACGTATAAACTATAATATTGAACGTCACTTACCGTGTAGTAAGACAATAGGCCAGCGTTTTCATCCAAAACAAACCATCGATATTGCCACCCTTTCATCACATTTGTCCATTTGCTTAATGAACCCTCCATCATGATTGTATAACTCAAAAATAATTATCAAAAAACATTTAAAACCAACTGCGGCGATTATAATATAATACCCTGCGACAGCCAAAGCAAAGCACTATAAAAAAAATCCATACGCTTGACAACTTGACATTGACATTTGAATTGACATATGACAATTGGGGTTGACACCGTATTGTAATAAATTTTTTTTTGGAGTTTATGGCCTGGTATCTAGACCTTTAGGCCAAGTCTTAAGTATTTTTATTCGGTTTATTGTAATTTCCCCACTCCTTCATAGTATACTGCTTCACAATATGTTGATGCGTCACATTGTGCAGTTCTTGGGAGATTTTGGCGGCAACTTGATCCAGCAGACAGCTGATAGTTGGCGATGGTATCTCAAGGTGCCTATGCAAACAAACAGCTTATCTTGAGAATCCATCACCATCAGAGCACTTGTTTCACTGTTTCCACTAATAGTTCACATGCGTAGACACTTAATACACAAAATCGCAACACTTTTACATATCATAGTCCACTTCAAACCATTATTTAAACAATAATACAGGAGCAGCAAACCGCCGCCGGTCAATTTCCCGCCAAAACCGTATTGTAATAAATATTACTATTAATGTTGCAATATACATCAGGTGTTATTGAAATTTTAAATTGTTATAAAAGTTTTCATAATATTAAATTAAATTTTAAACAAAAGTTGTTTATTTTTTATCAGCCATTCAATAAAATCATATCATAGAATATCAGCGTAAAATAGCAGCTTAAATCGGCTGTGTTTCGTGTGGTAAGTGTAGAGAACCGGAGACCCTTTTTACTGGAAATGAGGCATTCCATCTTAGTCCTCAAGGGTGACAACGCATCTGAATTTTGATTTGTAATGGAGGATAGATGTAGATGGCTATGGGCCGCAGCAACCACTTACCATCAGGTGGACTGTGTGCTCGTTTGTCACCCTAATCCTATTAAAAAAAAAATCATGTGAGTCATAGGGCATAATATCAATTTGGCCTTAGATAAAATACTTGAGACCCTCCGCCGGGCAAAGTCGTCAACCCGAAGATTTCTTTCTTCCGTATATTAGGTAATATTTAGCTTCTATAATTTTATTAGCGTTGTTTGAAAACCTCAATAGGATTAGCTTCCAAGTGAACACCAATCCTTCTAAGGCGTCATCCCAATACAACGCGAATGCGCGATCATCGCAAGTTTGCGCGAATTTTACTCGTACGAACACGCGATCAAACATACTGATCTCGAATATGTCGTCGGGCAGCGGGGTGAAGGGCAATATTGATTGTGAATTTCACCACGTACCGGTCTTATTTCCAACAAACGTTCTTTTTGCTGTCAAGACCAGCAGAATAGGTCATCCATAAATTTTCAGAAAGTAAAAACTGTGCGTTTCTGACGTCCATGCTTAACGCAAATGCCGCGCGATGATCGCGTAATCGCATTGTATTACGACGATGCTTAAAACGCTAAAGAATCACTTAGATGGTTTAATGGTAGAATACTATAGAATTGGTGTCAATCAGCAAAAAAACAGTGGGAAAGTCATAGACTTAGAATATACTGACGTATACCTAAACAATATACCTACACAGTGTGCGAGGGAGAAGAAAATTCCTTATGGCGTAAATGCAAGATAGAAAAAGATACCAAATCTCATGACTCTGTAACCGATTCTGAATGACAGATCGGCACAATTCGACACGAAAGAAATAGCTATTAGATGTTTTGTAATTTTTTAGATTGGTTATTTCTATTAAGTAACTTTTTTGCAAAATGGTTACTTAATCTGCGAGTGACTGTGGTGTTAATAATAGAAATTATCGTGATAATTCCACATTTCACAGGTAAATTCTCAAGACGTCGTCAATGTTATGACGCGTTTATTTTTGGTTAAAATTTATGTTATATACTGTGTAACATATGGAATGTTTTCAATTATTTTGATAATTTTGATATTTTGCTAAGAAAAAAGTCACGTTGTTGATAATTTGCATGAATTTGGTAAATACATTTTAATACAAAATATTTTACATGTATGCTAGGGATTGACTCAACTGATATAGAGAAATTATAAATTAATGTCGATATTTATCTTGAATGTTTATAATAAATCGATAGAATTGCGCACACAACAAGAAAATAAATCCCCGATATGCGTCCTAAAATGTAATTTTATTTTGCCTTTTGTCAAACAGATTCCCTCCGGATTTTTAATTAGAAAAAATGGTTAAGGTTAATTAGACGGATTGGTTGGAATCCAAAGAAAAACTCAAGAATTTGCAGCAAACATTTTCTTAAGAAGTATACAAGAAAAATTAGAATAAAACAATTTTATTAAAAGGAACCATTCCTACATTATATGTACTAGTAAGTATAATCCCACCAAAAACATTCTGTAAAAAACTAGCCAAGTCTCGATGGAGCTGCTTGTTTATCTCTAAAAAGTAATGAAATCTAGACAAAGTCGTGCCAAGTCTAAGGTTCCTTACTGCGATTTCTTTATTATTATAGTTAATGTTGTGTGACTTGGCCGTTGAAGGGTACACAAGGGTACAAAACCAGGTGCTACATTGCATACACACCATTGCACCAATCTGTCGCCAGAACCGCTACCCATTGACGATGGAAAATTGCCACTTGGGAAACGTTGATTGAATAACCAGTCAATTGTAAGCTTGATAAAGTTGCGTTTACACGTAATGTTGCACGTAATTATGTTTACACGTAATGTTATATCTGTTGCAGCTACCTATGTTTGTTAAGCGAGATAATAGCCCATAGTGGTATTGGTAATTGGACGCTAGTGTCTCATTTTAGACGGTTGTTGATTGTGCAACACATGCATTGACAATGCTGACTTCCGCTCTCTTCTTTTTGGAGCGTCAAATCGACCACCGATCTAACATAAAATAGACGTACAAACGGACTTCTATTAATGATTAGAAGTCCGCCTGTACTGGAAATAATTTTTTATACTGTTTGTTTCAGGCTCGCCTATACAAAAGTATTATTGAAATACGCAGCTTTATCAAGCCTTCAATTGACTGGTTATTCAATCAACGTTTTCCAAGTGGCAATTTTCCTTCGTCAATGGGTAGCGATTCTGGCGACAGATTGGTGCAATGGTGTGTATGCAATGTAGCACCTGGTTTTGTACCCTTGTGTACCCTTCAACGGCCAAGTCACACAACATTAACTATAATAATAAAGAAATCGCAGTAAGGAACCTTAGACTTGGCACGACTTTGTCTAGATTTCATTACTTTTTAGAGATAAACAAGCAGCTCCATCGAGACTTGGCTAGTTTTTTACAGAATGTTTTTGGTGGGATTTCACTGCTTTTTGTAGAAACGTGGGCATATTGATTTATTTTATTAGATTTTCTTATTTGACACATTTTTTTTCTTTTTAGGAGTAGTTTTTTTATTATTACAAATCTTTCTTTTCTTTTTTTCCGGTTCTGATTCTTATACAGTAGCAACAGTTTTTCGTATTGCCCATTCGCGTTAATTATTTAGCCTTTTAGACGGTTTAGACGGTTTAATTTCTGAAAGACCGGCGCGGTATTTACGTCTAAGCCGGTTGTATTCGGTGATCGCTGAAGCTTGAGCTTTTATACTCTTGAAGTCAACATTTATGAGGTACACCCCATGAAGATTGGTTACTCGTGAAAGCGCCACGTAGGCTTGGCAACAAGAGAATATGGAGGTGCCAATGTCCATGAGGGCATTTTTTAGACTTAGACCTTGGCTCTTGTGAATTGTTAGGGCATACGCCACACATATTGGGATTTGTTCTCTGTACACGTATTTTTTTTATGTACCAATAGTAGAAGGGGGCATTACCATATCTCTAATACATCTGAGACCAGCTGAGGGTTCTTCATCAGATACTTCAGACCTTCGATTTTTAACATCAAATGAAGCCGCCCACCAAGTTGAATATTTTTGTAAAGGCGGTATGTCGATCTCTTCTAATAGTTTGGTTGGGCTCTTGTGTTTTCTAATCAGGGTCACCAGGTACTCCAGATCTTCGATTATCCTTGTTTTTATAGTTTTCCCTTTATGTGGCCATTAAACCCTAACTCTGTACCAAATTTCAGCTCTCTGAGTTTATGGGAAGTACTAGTTCTATTCTGATGATCATGAGTGAGTGAGTGTCATAAATGCGAAACTTTGCTTTCGCTTAACTTCGGAACTAAATGACCTACAGACTTGAAATTTTGGATTTTAAGTATGTGATTATAGCTTACTGGGTGACGAAAATTTCTGCGTTCTGGTCTTATCCGGAGGTTCTCAAATAGGGGCCTGAAAATGCGGCGAAATGGTTCCAGTAAAGGATGGTACGGCAGTGTTCGCTTCGCGCTCGACTTGGCGGGGGCACTGCCGTGCCCCCCGATATTGTTACACTACGAATTGAAATATTTAACTTCAAAAACTTTAGATAAAAATAGAGATAGATTTTATACATTATAAAACTGCAGTATATTAAAAATAAAAAATCTTGAGAGTATCCTATTTAAGCAATTATGAACCCAACTGAGTATCTATTCATTAACCAAAAAAATGTATAACCTTACTTAACCAACCGCACCTCACGGTCACATTAGTACAATATTTATAGCATCATGCTATTTGCCCAAGGGGTTGAGCGGAGTTTCGGATTATATACCCAAGTCACAATGATAAAACTTTTAATGTAGTTAGATATAGACATTTAGTAATGCTCCTGTAGTGCCGCTAGATGCTAGATGTGCCGATAGTTTGCCAGGATGGTATAAATTTCATAGTATTTGATACTTACAATGCTCGATGCCCGATTTTTGCTTGGTGCCAGACGACGACTGTGGGGGGCTAAATAGCGTGGTTCATTGCCTACGGAATTATGCGTAGAGGAAAGGAACTTGTGGTTTATTAACAGCTGCGGGGATCAATAGTTCTGCGAGATTAAGTTGCGCTCGTCACATTCATCCCATGGATGGGTCACCGTTTTCTTAACATACCGAGATTGAAAGAATAGACAGTGTACCTCTATCCTCAGACACCTGGTACACTTTAATATATCCTGCGTATTTGGCTAGTCTGTGT